ATTTTTATGCTATTTCGTATTACTATATTTGTTCTATTTCTTTGTTCTATTTCATATCACTTACTATACTTTATATTTCCTTTAAATTAGGAGGCAACAAAACTCTATGGACGAATTTACACTCGTGGAGAAAGACTTAGAAGGCTTTTTTGAGATAACCTTAGAAGGCTTTTTTGATATAAAGAAATCAATGGACAATTTTGTTGAAAATCAGATTTTTGATATTGAGAACGATTATTCTTTTCTGAGTGAACTAGAAAGTTCTTTTTCTAGTTATTGCAATGTGATTTCTATTAGTAATGAATCTACGGGTGAAGATTCCTTATACAAGCATTTCGTGTATGATACTCAATCTGGTTGGAAAAATTACATTACTAGTTGCATTGAGAGTTATCTTCAGTCTCAAATCTGCAGTGATACGCCCATTCTAAGTAATAGTGGTGACAGTTCTATTTCGGGGTGCAGTGGTTTCACTCTAAGTGAAAGCTCTAATGAAAGCAAGCCAACTATAAACTACGCGGATTTGTGGGTTCAATGCGAAGATTGTTATGGATTAAATTATAAGAAATTTTTTAAATCAAAAATGAATATTTGTGAACACTGTGGATCTCATTTAAAAATGGGTAGTTCAGACAGAATCGAACTTTTGATCGACCCCGGTACTTGGGATCCTATGGATGAGGACATTGAGTGGGAAGAGGATCCTTCTGATATTGATCATCAAAAAGATGATCCTTCTGATATTGATCATCAAAAAGATGATCCTTCTCATTTGAATTCTATTTCTGATAAAATTGCTCGTTTGAATGCTATTTCTTTTAAGAAACTTTATCGTTTGAATCCTTCTGCTGAAAAACTTTCTCATATTTATATCGATCTTATCGATGATCCTTCTGATATTGATGATCCTTCTGATATTGATGATCCTTCTGATATTGATGACTCTTCTGATATTGATGACTCTTCTGATGATTTTGATCGATCTTATAAAGATAAGGTTGATTCTTATCAAAGAGAGACAGGATTGACTGAGGCTGTTCAAACAGGCGTAGGTCAACTAAACGGTATTCCGATAGCAATTGGAGTTATGGATTCTGAGTTTATAGGGGGCAGTATGGGGTCCGTAGTCGGAGAGAAAATCACCCGTTTGATTGAATATGCTACCAACCAATTTCTACCTCTTATTATAGTGTGTGCATCCGGAGGGGCGCGCATGCAAGAAGGAAGTGTGAGCTTGATGCAAATGGCTAAAATAGCGTCTGCCTTATTTGATTATCAATCAAATAAAACGTTATTGTATGTATCAATCCTTACATCGCCTACTACTGGCGGGGTAACAGCTAGTTTTGGTATGTTGGGAGATATCATTATTGCCGAACCAAATGCCTACATTGCATTTGCGGGTAAAAGAGTAATTGAACAAACATTGAACATAACAGTTCCTGAAGGTTCACAAGTGGCTGAACATTTATTCGAGAAGGGTTTATTCGATCTAATCGTCCCACGTAAGCTTTTAAAAAATGTTCTGAGCGAGTTATTTAAGTTCCACGCCCTCCTTCCTGTGAATTCCAATTCAATCAAGTAGAGTGCACTAAGTTCAATTATTTTATTGGGGGTGGATAACTATTTTTTTTACCTAGATTCCCGATTACTTAGTAAGATAAGATTAAGAAGCTATCATCATCAACAAGATAAAAGCGCGAGTTCTTCCTTTTGTGAAAAAGAAAAATAAGAAAGTTGATTATCATACATATCTTTTGTGTAGATAGATGAATAAGTCCATTTATTTAA